GAGTGAGATTCCACTGGGCGCCAGAGTGAGATTCCAACTCAAAAAAAAAAAGGGAGGGGGTGTCATGAGACCTCAACTTCCTCATCTGTGAGACAGGATGAGACTCTGGGCACTGCTGAGTCCTAGGACTGTTGTGACAATGCTGGATACTACAAGAAGGGCATGTTCATGGCCAGCCTCAGTGGCTCATGCCTGTTACCCCAACACTTTGGGAGGCCAAGGTGGGAGGATTGCTTGAGCTTACCAGCCTGGGTAACACAGTGAGACTTTGTCTCTACAAAAATATTTTTTAAATAATTAAAAACAAAAGAAGGCATGTTCATTGAAAGATTTTATTGTTTTGAAAGTAAAACTTATCCAAAGTGTTGGACTATTTGCTGTGCAATTTTTATGACGGCTAGCATTGCTTCAGTTCTTCGTTTTATTTTGTTTTGCCTCATTTTCCTATTTCCCTTTTCCCTCCTTTCTTCACAGACAGCCTGAGCCATGTGTTTCAGTGGCTGGGGTTCAGCGTAAGCAAACATGACAACCTGACTAAAGCTTGCCTGGAGAAGGTTCTAGAGAAGTATAAGAGTCACCCGGACCACGCTGGTGCAGACTGCTTCGTGTTCTGTGTGCTGACCCATGGGAACCTCGGGACGGTCTACTCTACAGATGAGGCCCCCATCCCCATTCGGGAGATCATGTCATATTTCACAGCCCAGCAATGCCCCGGATTGGCTAAAAAACCGAAACTCTTTTTTATCCAGGCCTGTCAAGGTAGTGAGATACAACCATATGTGTCCATTGAAGCAGATGCCGTGAACCCTGAGAACACAGAACAGTGTTCTATTGGGGACAGTATTCCCACTGAGGCAGATTTCTTGCTTGGTCTGGCCACTGTCCCAGGCTACAAGTCCTTTCGGCACAAGAAGGAAGGCAGCTGGTACATTCAGTCTCTGTGTAGTCATCTGAAGAAGTTGGTGCCAAGGTGAGAGTTCTGAGTTGTTGTATCCACCTGTCTGTTCATCTGTCCATCCACTTATCTGTCACCTTCCTGCTTATCTATCCATCCATCCACCCACTCACTCACCCATCCATCCACTTATGTCCATTCACTCGTCCACCCACCGTTTGTCCATCCAACCACCCGTCCATTCATTCAACCATCTGCCCATTCATCCATCTGCCCACTCGCCTACCATCTACCCATCTACCCATCCAACAACCTTGTATTGACAGCAGCATGGATCTGAAGAGGAAGATACAGAATAAAAAAAAGACACAGTTGCTGCCCTCAAGTTGCTTACAAGCTAGAAGGGTAGACACACGAGTAGATGGGATAGAGCCTCCCAGGTGGTC